TGCATCAGAGAACAGATACAAAGGAAGCCCTGTTATTCTGGGATACACTCACACTTACAAACCCAAGGACACACACACACACACACCTGGCAGCTCAGACACACAACAACAAGGGTGAAGAAAGAAGTGTGGTAAGTAAGAAAAATGTAGATCAAAGAGGAAAAGATGAGAGATGTGGTAAAAACTGAAACCTTTTCCCTCTCGACTCAGATTCAGCAAAACTTGCCTATTTCAGAGCGGGAGCCAAAAGGAGAGCTTGGCAGAAAATGTGATTGACAGCTGTGATAATAACCACTAATAATCGGACACAATGATCGCAGGGTAAGAAAAGAGCATGTGTCTGCAGGGAGAGGGGTTAAAGGTGAGAGAACAGGGAGGTGAACAGGTGGGGGGTCCGGCTGAAAGGGATGCAATAAGAAAATCAGGTGCAAATCAGACAGAAGTGTGATTTGATTTATGTCTAATTTAGAATAATGTGGTGAGGTTAGGGAGAAGTTAAAACACAAAACACAAACAGTCAAAACTGAAAATCTATTCCAGTCATTTGTGCCTATACTCAAACAACAGCCACTTTCACGTTGACAGAAACTTCCTTCTTTTAAAGATTAGAATGATGGGTGGAAATAGTTGCTTTTGTTTGCACAATGCAACAAACTGTAGACAAAATTCACACACAGATCAAGTTTAACTTATTATTTTTCCTTTGAGCAACTCACCAGGTCAATGAGGTCACTGAGGTTCTTCTCGATCTGCTGAGGAGGCAGACGCCTCATCAGGTCCAGAGCACAGTCCAGCTGCTGGTCAGTCTGAAAAACAAAACCAGCACAGATACGAAGATCAAATTACAGGAAGCAGACAGTGTGTTGGCAGCATATACAATTCAGTTTTATCCTACTACTGTGGATTTATTTCAGTAACAAACAAAACAGGACAACAACGTAATTTTATCAAAGAATAAATTCAGAAACGTGTACACAGATTGATTTTTATTCTCCGATATTAAACCATAGGTGGTGTATTGTGTTGACGTCACCTCAACAACTATGAACACATTTTTAGGACACAGTATTATTATCAATTACTGAAGAGCGTATCACCTTATTATTTTGTACAAGTGGTTCCTTAGCTGCTGAATCATATGAGGTCTTTAGTTTTTCACTTGTATTTGTTAAATATGGTGTAAATGTGACAAATATATACAAATCCCACTGAACATTTCAGTAAAAAATGTTTGAAATTATATTTAACARATTTGATTTTCCACATTCATACAGACAAATCCAGCAACAAACTGATATTTTGATTAGGAAGAGATGCTTGAAAGACACATTATTTTCAGCACAAATTGTATTGGTACTGTCATCAAGACCATTTCCATCAGAATACAAGGGAATGACTCCTCACAGGATAGAGACATCATAGAAATTTAATTTTGTAGGGATTTTTCCTGTCAATTCTTTTCCTACAGTTGTTTTTTTTCCCTTTCCCTTTCTAAAATGCAAGTATTAAAGCTTTAATGACTTATAGAAAAATCATTGCACACATCAAGGCTACTGGCTCAATTTGTTGCCAGAAAACAAAAATAAAGGGTTCTTTAACTGCATTTCAGCATTATAGTCAGTGGTGGACAGTAACAAAGTACATTTACTTGATTACTGTACTTAAGTTACATTTTTTGAGTATCTTTACTTGAGTAATATTTTTGTTTGGGAACTTATGACTTTCATTCCACTACATTTATTGGAAGCTTGTAGTTACTTTTTTCTTTTGGCTTTGTAATCCACTGTTGCCGTTTCCTTTCTTGAAATGCAAGTGGCCACACGTTATGTTCCTCACAAGGGAAACCAATCACAGACGTAATTCACACCTGGGATCGATTTGGAATTACATCATCCTTGTTAACGGTCGCAAGGTGAGCCTGAGCTTCAACCTCCATTTCACACAGAACCCAGCAATGAAGACGGTTAAAGAAAGACGAGAAACCAGCCATATCCATATCCATATCCATGGCCACATCTCAGCTCAATGTTTGGGATTTCAGGACTGAAAAATAATTTGTTTCAGTTTAAGTGTCTTCTGTGTTCACCATGGATAAACTACATTTCTGCATTTAATAACTAACTTTTTTGCATTTTTATGCTGAAGTCTTTACAGGTGGTGTCGAATTTGTAGTAGAGTGTTTCTACGTGTCAGTGCATCAGGTGGTTACAATGTTCTTTAAAATCACTCTGAAAACAATACAGCAATGTACCGATAACAGAAAATACAATTTTTACTTTTGAATACTTAAGTATCTTTCAAAAGTAAGTACTTCAGTACTTTAACTTGAGTAGATTTTTCATTGAGCAACTTTTACTTGCAGGTGAGTAAGATTTGACCACGAGTATCAATACTTTTACTCAAGTACTAGAGCTGAGTACTTTGTCCACCACTGATTATAGCTCCAAACAAACTCTTTACAATCTCCAGGTCAGCACAGTGTTAAAGAAAACCACTTGTGTAGGTAATATTCACACACTTCTGTGCAAACCTCTTTATTACACTCAGGGAATACCTACAAAAACACACCATATTTGCGTTATGGAAAAAATTTTTAAATTAAAAAAATAGAACGAACCCATGGTTTGTCACGTGAATATTTAGCAAAAGATAGTAAACGGATAACTAAAGTAGTGTTAACATGTAGCTCTACTGACTAGAGGAAGCAATACCAAAGCAGATCAAATTGATAAAGCCCAAAAGAATTTATTGTTCAACACTCACCCTGAGAGACAAGCAGAAAAACAAGTTTGTGCGTGGGGAGATTATGCAAAAAAATGACTTTTTGGAGTTTTATGTTGTATTGCTATTCCCCCATAAAAAAAATAAATAAAAAAAAACAGACCCAGAGTGTTGCTTTGAAATTCATGCATGTTTTAGAAATCCTTGAATCTCCCGTGGCAGCCATGTAAAGCTGTCTAGAGACTTGCTGGTACAAAGCACCGCCTATTTACACAAAGCTCCTCCCTGGAGCTCAGTACCCAGCCAAGCTCCCATCTCACAGAGCACCCATCCCACAAATATCTCTTGTGAAGGTGTGCTGAAGTGGGAGTGTCTGAAACTGAGGTTCTTAAAGAGAGAGAGGGGTCAATTTAAAAGCGTTTAAATAAGACTATGATTGAGTTTAATGTGGTTCTGAGGTAAAAATGTGACAATGTTAAAGTTTTTCTAGTTCCATTATGTGTGCCTTGAGAAAAGATAAATGTGGGGCATTGGAAAATACATTTTCACACAAGATAGAGTTAAATGTAGAACTTTTTTTAAACATTACAGTCCCACAAAATATATAAAAGGCATTAAATTATTTTCTATACAGAGTAAATATAGTTATCCTGCATGAACGTATCACTTCAGGTGAGCTAAAGTGACATTTAGTGTTTTACTGTAATGAAAACCTTTGCCTCTGTGCCAAATGGGTTTCACCATGAGCAGTAAATAAAATGAACCGCTCTAACTTCACTAAGTGGGTGTGACGTTCAACACTTCCCATCATCAGTCCTGATAGGTACACAGAAATAACGAGCAAGTACTGTGTATAAATACAGAGCTGTTGAGACTGTGGACAAAGAAAACAGTGATAAGGCATGTGTCCTATCAGAAAACATTTAGGTATCTTGTGACTTGTGTCGGACCGCTTGAAACAGTGCAGCATTATGTTCTGTTTCAATGGGCTGCTTTTGTTTGCTTTTAAAAACATAAAAGGTGTCAATATTTATTTTAAGTGTTAACCTCTTATTACAGCGGGATATATGTGCTGACAAACTGCTACTGAATCAAACAAACCTTCATCTTTGTATCAACATACAGAAGGTAGAATCAACTGAAGATTTTGTAGGAAGGAATAAGATGTTCATACTGTATGTCTGAAGTTAGAAAAATATCTCTTGAACCACTGGATAGGCTTTATTGAAACTATCATTAAACAAATATTTTGATTAAAATAGGAGCCAGTTCAAAAAGTCCCTTTAGAGGTTGTTGTCTAGAATAAAAACATTTTCGTCTGGACATTATCAGACAGTGGCATCAAAGCATTTTTGGTCCTACTGAGATAAAATCTAAAACTTTTCAAGCATTTTGTCACAATAAAGTCAAAACACAAGAAACAAATAGCAGCCAAAACTTGACTTCAAACACTAACAACAAATACACAAAAACAAAACAAAAAAAATCTCACGGCTATCACAACAACAAAAGCTCCCTGTTTGACACCCATTGTCTGTCTGTTATCCCTGATTAATTCACATCTTTTTCAAATGTAAATAAAATCACCTGAGTCATTTGTYTCTCAAGTGTTCACTGGTGTATTCCATTGTGTAATTTGACAGGTTTTATTCTAGAAAACCCTAAAGCCGTAAATATTTTCATTAAAAGAAACCCTGAGGAAAGGCCTTTCCTGCTATTTCCCGTCTTCCTGGTCACTTTTTATCTGTTCTAAAAACCTGCTTTTCATCAAACACCTACCTTTCTTGACARAAAGTTTAGAACTGCTGTTTTCTCAACGTAAACATCGATCAGAGCAGCAACTCCTGAGGTCAGAGGAGAGCAGCAGAGATAAAACTGTTTAGAGATAAAACAGCTGCTCTACTTGTTTCAGGCACTGATTGAGACACACTTAACAGGGCAGCTACTTTACAAAAAGAACAAAGCAAAAAACTGGAAGCAACATGAAATTTGAGGTTTAGTATGGCAGCAATACAAAATAGAGATCAGTGATGCAATTTCTTACAATAAGTGAATACATGCCTCARTTTTGTTGCCAGAGGTTTAGACATTAATAGGTGTTTGTTGTCTTTAGTTAATTTGAGGGGACTGCAAATTTACACGGTTATACTAACTGAACACTGACTTACATTGTATCAAATTGTCATATATTCAGTGTTGTCCCATGAAAATATAATATAAAATATTTACAAAAATGTCAGGGGTGTCTTTAAGATATTGCATCTGTCAATAACAACCCACCACCTTTACTCTGATTCCTGCCCATTTATGAACAATTTAAATAAAGAAGCACTAAAGCAATGAAAAATACCATAAAGAAAAGACTTGTCTTAGTGATATGAAAATGTTTTCAATATCACTGATGTGGAACAAACTGATGTACTGTGCAATACAGCTTTTTAGCGAATAACTTGTTGCTGTATAAATAAAAAACAAACACTCATTGACTGGGACTTAATATCAGTAAATCCAACGTGACTCAAGTTGTTTAGATAAACTACGTTTTATGTTTGTGTGGGTCAAGAATGTCTGCTTTTGCTTTAATATTAATTCATATTTACTAGCAAAAATGCAAATTGCTTGTTTTTGTAACACCTTTACACAAACTGTGTGTTTACATGATGTAATACAAAATCTATTAGAAACATTCAACAGAACCTTGTTTTGTGCAGCTGGTTCATTAAGTTTGAAGCATACAATCATAAGATTAACAGTATATTAAATGACAATATGTGAACAATGGCTGGTGAAATGAGCTGGGCTGAGAGGGACATTTGTCCAAGGAAACAAAAGCTAAAGACATAATGATTCTCTGAAGAAGCAGAAAAGCCAACACTGCAGGCTGCCAACTTGTCATGGTTAGAAACGGGAGGAGCAAGCAGTCTTATTTTAGATACAAGCAGTCCGCTGCTTGACTGCTTTAGCCTGAGCTAAAGCGTGCAAGGAGAGTGTGTGAGCTATATTAGGAATATTCACCGCTGTTAACTTGTCTCAAATCCAAAACATCCTGTGCTAACTTCTACGGAGCTTGTAGCTCGAGTAGGGTTAGCAGGAAGCTAATTAGCAACTTAGCCTCGAAGCTAATTCATTCTCATCGCGAGGTATAAGTTTGCTAACAGTGCAAGTTGGATGCACTGAGCGATTTATGCTCTCTGGTCCTATCGGATTACCACCCAGCTCCTTCGGCCAGCAGTTCAGTGAGCAGGAACACCCACTGAAGCCCCGTCTCTCCCACCAGCTTCCCCCGCGGCCCTTACCATGTCTGCGGCGGTCTCTGCGAGGAACGGTCTCACCGATGTTTGTACGCCTTAACTCTACGGTGGTTTTTCAGTTTACTCCTCTGGTCTTTTATTGTTTCGTTGGGTTTATTATTTTAAGACCCCCGCTGAAGATGTTTTTCTTCGCCTCTCCCTGTCTGAACCCAGCCCTGTCAGCGAAATTCACTTCCTCAACCCGGGCTTACAGGAAGGAGGCTGCGGTGAGAAAACAGGCCTCGTTTGTACATCCGGGTCACTCAGGTTTTTTTTTCTGCAGCAGCCAATAGCAGCAGAGCAAGAAAAGCATTGCCAAGTATGGAAAGAGATGAGCTGCGCAGTAAATATGCAGCCTGAGAGGGCGTGAGATACACACACTAACCAACACATCACAACACTTTCACACTGCTGACAAATTTGTGTTTACAGTGGGGAGAAAACAACATCATAAAAAACAACTTCTTGCTAGAATTTGGAGGGAATAACTGTGATACAAAACAAATGCATTGCTTCCAAAGAAGTTTTTCCAAAAAGTGTGCTAAGATTTTTTTCAAATAAGGGTTTATTCGTAAACCCATGATTTCAAGTGGAAGAGCTTTAAAATAACTTTTAAGAGTACATTTTGGGTTTAAAGAAAAATACGAAACGTATATTTAAAATTCAAACTTGGCACAATTAACATATTGTTTTTCTGTTGAACCATGAAGAAAGTTATCTATCACAATAAAACTAGTTTCTACACATTGTTAGAGGCTGCCATGAAAGATTCAGCAAATGTGGATTTTTAAGGATTTAACTTAAAAAAATTCGTGTTAGAAAATTTGATAAATAACAAATGCTTTTCTTTTTTAAACATAATTTATTGGAATAAAATTAATTGACTTTAGTGTAATAGGACCTTTTATGAAACATCCACATTTTTATTTGATCAGATAAATAAAAAGTTAACTTAACTGGCAACCAGGGTATGCAAAATGATAAACAATAAAAATGTGATGGGTAAACTGAAAATATATGGCAGATCAGTCATAACTGCTAATTTATTCAACAAAAGAATGGGTTATTTTGTACTTTTCTAAAAAAAAATTATTGTATGCACAATGCTAATTCAAAGACAATGGGAATCAAAGAAAAGATATGAGATTGTACATTAAAGTAATAAAACAGAATTCACGTAACTTCCTTGAACTCTCGCGATTTTCTGTGAGATCTCGTCACAGCAGAAAACATGGCGGACGATTATGGACGAAAATGGGATCGATGCCTTGCTGATACAGCCGTAAAAACAGGTTAATATCTTTATTTAAACACTATTTTTTAATATTGCTATAATAAAGCATCCAGGGGTTTATTGCGCCAACTAAATTAGCTGGGTTAAAGCTTTGTTTAACCGGATATACTTTGCTCACCTGGCAGTAAGGTCAAACAACTGTCGGTCTGCTGAATCAATAAAATTAGGTTTGTTCATTATTAAATTGTAAATTTTATAATATGAAAAGTTGACTGGGAAGGCTGTGTGGTAGAATACTGGTCCGCAGTCATTTTAGTGACATAGTTAAATTGTCTGTATGGAGTGTAAACATTAATCATGTTATAGCAGGGAAATTTGTCAGGGTGCAACTTCGCTCATTTTGCTTTTTTTTTTATTATCATCTTTCTATTTATGTGCAAACATGTACTTGTGTCCTGATAACTAAGTCAGCAGTTTTCTGTTTCCAGACCCTGAATGACTGAATCAGTTTTTTCTAAATTGTCAAAAATGAACACGGAAATTAATGCAACATGGCAATATTTCAGTGGCTAAAAACATGGACTCTTCTGAAATAAGAATAAAAATCCTGGTAACTTCTTCTTAAAATGGACTTTATTCTTTAACCTTATTTCCCTCTGGGATCAATACAGTATTTTTGAATTGAATTGAATTTTTGCCTTCTCTTTGTGTCATACACTTTACTCTAAACTGAAAGGTTAAAAGTTCATTCAAAATCAAAATGAGGAACCAGTTTTACCAGATTTTGCCTATTGCCTGTTACTAATCTAGGTGTTCATTACTGCATTCAGAGCTATTTTTACAATTAAATTATTCAGCATATTTCTATCAGATATTTACCTGTGCAATCTTATTTTTTAATTTGTCCTCTCCTGTGTGATATGCACACTTTGAAGTAAGCATTCAGTCAGTTTTCTGCACATTTACTGTGTCTAGTTGTATTAACAAGCATAAAAAGTAATCTAACAAAGCTAAAGGAGATTGTATTTAGCCTTTAAATATGTTAAATCAATTTTATAGTTTTTTATTAAACTTAATTCCAAAAGAGTCAAATCCAGTTTCTTCACAGTTTTTAACATTTGCTAATGAAAGCTCTTTTCCGTGAAATGGACTTTATTCTTTAAGTATGTTTTTTTAAACGTGGCCTTTCCATCCGTCTTACAATTAATGGCCACACATTCCTTTATAGAGTCACCCTCCAAATTTCATGCCAGAGTTATAAACTAAGATAATTTTATAATAAGCAAGGCAGTTTTGATCAGACCTTATAAATGATGTTGGCAGTYTGTGGTTATGATGACTGTCAGCTACTGCCACACAAAATTTGGATCAGTATCTGTAAAATTTACAGAAAACTTTGTGTTTGCTATTGACTAGCTAAAGTCCATCTTGAATTGTGTTCACTTTAAAAGGTTGATGTTTATCCAATGATTACTTTTTAAATTTCACTCAAATCCATCCAGTGGTTCATGAGGTATGTTGCTCACACTACAGGAAAAATAATACAGACACAGGGAAAACATTGTTGCCCTTGTGCCTTCAGTTATAAAAACTAAAACGTCAAATGTGGAGATAAGGACTGTCGAGCAAAAACATTTGCCTGAGTTAAACAAGTCAGGGTTAGGTTAAAAGTTTTGCAGTATTCAGTCACAATGATTGAAAATGACTCTTATTGATGCCATTTGTTGAGAAATAATCCAAACATTGAAGAACAATGCAATTAGGCAGCTCTGGACTTCATTTGCTGGAAGAAAAACAAAACATACAACATTGTTTTACATCTGAGGGGGTTCTGCATTTCAGTTTACTCAAGTGCAAATGTTTTCGGTCTGAACTCCGTTCCCCTGGGAGACGTTCAGACAAAAGAAAGAAAAGCCAAAATAAGATATTGATCGGCCCTCAGATTTTTTGCCAGCGCTCTCATTGTGTTACTGTCAGTGGAAAATCAGAGGCTTCAGAAACGCTCTGGCCACAGAGCAAAGAAAGACAGGCTGAAACAGATGGAAAATCTTAAACTTATCTGAGTCATTGCTTGCAATGGAAGCCCAGTTTTATGATCTATGGTGGATATGTGCTGATAATAAAGATGAGCTGAGGTTCTTGTGGTCTTGTTTGACATGTGTAAGTTGTGTAATAGAGAACAGTTGAGGATTCGGGGTAAGGCTTATTGGTCACGCTGCATAGCTCTCTGAATCTAATTAGGAGCCGGAGGGCCCCAAACGGCTGGTTTTATGTGGTTTCTGCGCTGGCCGGCCTGCTGTTGGGTGTGGCGTGGCCTGCAGCGAGGTGAAGCTAAGAGCATAAACACATTCTTCGTGATATTTCTGTTTCGTCTCGGGACGCCCAACAGCTTCGTGCCGCTGACCGACAATCTGCTCCATCAAACGTGGTCACGTTCCAGTTTGTGTTTTTCACCCCGTCAGCATGAACACTCAGATCAAATGAACATTTAAAGCTCAGTTTAGTTTACTGTCAAATATTCACACGACCTTTTATCTTATTACAAGAGATTCGCAGTACTGTGCAAAAGTTTTAAAACAAATAATTTCTGTGTATTTTGCAGACATTCGCAGGGGGGATGGGGTATTTTGTATCTTCAGGCACATAGTTAAATTCTACAATCAAGTAACTATGTTACCTTCAGTTGTTGTGAAAATTACGTAGCACCATAGCCTATCCAGGGGAGGAGCTTTATGTAAATAGGCGGAGCTTTGTACCAGCAAGCGTTTAGGCAGCTCCATGTGGCTACCACAGGAGATTCAAGGATTTCTCAGCATGAATGAGTCAAAGCAACACTCTGGGTATGTTTTTGATGAGGGAATGACATTATAACATGATATAAAGCTCAAACAGTTAGTTTAAAAAATGTGTTTTTTGTCAATAGTTTGTATTTGTTTTAGACTTCAGCTGCTTTTTTCTCTTTTTCAGTCCAGTTTTTTTTTTTATCATCCTTCCAGACCCATTACATAGATGTGCATAGCTTTGCTTTTGCTTGTTTATTTCTCTGTGCTTCATCTTTGTTTGTGTACCGTTTCTTCCAATTCCTGTTTCTAAGAACTACTTTTTCTCTCTCTCTCCTTTTTCTCCCCTTGCAGTCACAGGCCTCAGTGTTGGCATCGTGTTCTCCATCCTCCTCTTCAAACGTAAGCTCAATAAAGTAAAACAGGTTTCTTTTTTTCCTATTTTTTTTTAGTAATTGCTCTTTTTAAAAACAAGCAGAGCTGACTGTTTTTCCTCCACCAGGGCGAATGTGGCCTCTGTCGTTCGGGTCAGGCCTGGGGTTGGGAATGGGATACACCAACTGCCAGCATGACTTCAGGTCTCCATATCTGATTCATGGCCGCGTGCTTAAGGTGAGTGTACATGGGGGGGCTGTTCTAGGAGGATCTTCACACTTCAATATGTCATTTTAAGTGTTCTCTCTTGTTTCAGGACCAATAATGGAACGAAGGCAACAATGAGTTTCTCGTCTGTTTGTGTTTAACGCTCCTCGTCTCTATCCAACAGTTCCTAGTGTATATCAAAAACAATAAATGTATATTTATTAAAGCTCTTTTCTTTGTGTTTTATTATTCTTGTAGGAATTTTTCAGAGGGAAGAAATGTTTTTTTTCTTTTAGGGGGTGGAAGGTAATTCTGTGTTAATGAGCTGGGAGACTCGAGACTCCTGCTGTTTTGGAATGAGAGCCAGGTTCGGCATCTGCAGACCTTCCAGAGAGAGAGAGTGGGAGTATGAACAGTTGTACTGAATGATGAGGTAAAGACGTGCAGTTGGTAGAAGAACAAAGCTGATTCTGACTGAGGTTTTCACGAAAATAACTCTTGTGTAACTCCATTTCTGTCTGTAAATGTTGGCGTAACGTAAAGACGTAAAGGGAGATTTCTTTAAAGACGCAACAAATTCACCCTGACGTTTATAAAATCCAAATTATTAGCAGACTAAACTTGTAACGTTTTGCTGTTTTAGATCACATGATAAACCTGTATTTCTTCGGCCTAACTGATCATTAATATGTGGTTGCTTGAGTTTGCTGAAAGAGTGGGGGGGGGGACTGGTTTTTGTGAGATTGTGCACACCAGCCCTCCTGGTGGAGCAGAATTTCTGGAATGCAGAGAGAAATATCGTTTCTGGACCCCGAGCTCGGCCTTATTACTAACAGGTGAGTTCTGTGGCTTTCACGTCGGAGCAGAACACATGTTGAACACTTTCACATCAAAGACAAAACACTGCTTTCTGTTACACAGACACTCAATGCTTCTCTTTTCATCGCTGCAACAGTTTAGTCAGTAATGTAAGCACGAGGCATTCCTGGGCATGATGGAGCGGAGCTTGCTCCAGTGGGGTTCAAAAGGCCCGTTTTTTTTTTCCTTCAGCCGTGGGTTCGGCTGCCGTGCATCTGGCTCACAGTAACCCTGTCAGGGATTAAGCCGCGTCACTCATCCCTTGTCCATTAAAATACTTGTTAGCAGGTGAAGCGTGAAACTGATAGGGGTTCACGTGGACCTGAGCCAGGATGAACACCTGTGAGCAGAAATGTGCGCCGGTCGGGAAGAGGGCAGGAGTGGGATGTTCTATAAGAGAGTGTGTGTCCTCCGTAACCCAAAGGCTGAGCAAGAATCCCCCGTGATCAATCAAATCCTGCAACACTTGATAATCATAACACGTTAATCAGATGATCAGGACTCCTACACAGAATTAACATTTTAGTTTTTCCCAGTTCTGGATAAGTTTGCATTTCATATTTTTTAATGATATTAGTCCTTATTAAAGTATATGCACGTGTCATTTAAGTACTAATAAAGCTAAAATAGAATTATAGAAATACTTAATTTATGTTACCTATATCTGACCACATGGGTCAAACTCAAGGCCCAAGGATAAAATGTGGCCCGCGAGAGCTTCAAAGAAATGTCTTAAAGAAATCCARGATAGACAATATTTGATAAACATTTACTTAAACTGTAAAACAAAGACAGTAAAAATACTGTAGGTTGTTTATTTTTTAACACCGCAAAGCATACTGGTTAAATTATGGTGTTCACAAGGTTTTCCGGTGCGAGGCTGTGCCAGCTCTTATCCACCTTGAAGCTTAATCTTGCACAATATCTGACAATCAGCTCTTTTAAATGAAACCAGAGCATCTTGTCAGAGGAGAATGTAGAAATGACAGCCTGTAACTGAGAATGTGGATGGAGGACCTCAGTTTATCCGACCTATTAGCTTTCCCGTTAGCACCAAGCTAATGCATATTTAAGGCAATATAGCGTCAGCACTCGAGCTACATGTATTCACTCACCGGCCACTTTATTAGGTACACCTGTCCAACTGCTCATTAATGCAAATGTCAAATCAGCCAATCACATGGGAGCATCTCAATGCATTTAGTCATGTAGACATGGCCAAAACTATCTGCTGCAGTTCAAACCGAGCATCAGAATGGTGAAAAAAAGGTGATTTAAGTGACTTTGAACGTGACATGATTGTTGGTGCCAGACAGGCTGGTCTGAGTATTTCAGAAACTGCTGATCTACTGGGATTTTCACCCACAACCATCTTTAGTGTTTACAGAGAATGATCTGAAAAAGAGAAAATGTCCAGTGAGCTGCAGTTCTGTGGGTGCAAATGCCTTGTTGATGCCAGAGGTCAGAGGAGAATGGGCAGACTGGTTGGAGCTGATAGAAKGGCAACAGTAACTTAAATAACCACCCGTTACAACCGAGGTGTTCAGAAGAGCATCTCTGAACACAAAACACGTCGAACCTTGAGGTGGATGGGCTACAGCAGCCCACAGGTGCCACTCCTTTCAACTAAGAACAGGAAACTGAGGCTACAATTCACACAGGCTCACCCAAACTGGACAAGATTGGAAAAACATTGCCTGGTCTGATAAGTCTTGATTTCTGCTGCAACATTCGAATGGTAGGGTCAGAATTTGGTGTCAACAACATGAAAGCATGGATCCATCCTGCCTTATATCAACAGTTCAGGCTGGTGATGGTGGTGTCATGGTGTGGGGGATTTTCCTGGCACAATTTGGCCCCATTAGTACGTACCGATTGAGCATTGTGTCAACGCCACAGCCTACCTGAGTATTGTTGTTGACCATGTCCATCCCTTTCTGACCACAGTGGATCCATCTTCTGATGGTTACTTCCAGCAGGATAATGTTCCATGTCATAAAGCTGGAATCATCTCAGACTGGTTTCTTGAACATGACAATGAGTTCACTGTACTCAAATGGCCTCCACAGTCAGATCTCAATTCAATTGAGCATCTTTGGGATGTGGTGGTACGGGAGATTCACATCATGGATGTGCAGTCGACAAATCTGCTGCAACTGTGTGATGCCATCATGTCAATATGAACCAGACTCTGAGGAGTGTTTCCAGTACTTTGTTGAATCTATGCCACAAAGTATTGAGGCAGTTCTGAAGGCAAAAGGGAGTCCAGCTCAGTACTAGCAAGGTGTACCTAATAAAGTGGCCGGTGAGTGTATATGGCGATTTAGCGTAAACTATGCACATCCCATATTTATTAGTTATAGCATTACTTTTCGAGCTAACAATATTAGCTTGGCGCTGATCAAGAGTTTTATCAAATTGTCTAGTGTTACAAATAATCATGTGGATTCCTTTAAATTAAGTGTATGCTGCTTTAAAGACAGCTTTGACAATAAACTAGACTTCACCCACAATGCATGTTGATTATTTTACCTGCAAAATGACAGCATCTTAGAGGAGCACAGAACTGAAAAGTAGCCAGCAGCTGGTGAAATTCATTGTGTTTGYTTGTGGTTTGGTTTATGTGGCGCAAATCAGTCAACACAACATCTGACCCGGTTGTGGTTTGGTTTAAGTCATGTTGGTCCACGGACCACCTCTGTCAAACCAAATTCGGGCCACCAGAGGGTTGTCATTCTTTGCAGTATCTGGTGTGACTATGTCTTGTGTGACTATGCCAGAAGTGGGCCAGACAACATTTGTTATGTGGGTCTGCTGACAGGTCAGCGGAGGCAGGGAGCACCAAAGCCTCTCAGCAATTCATGAGTCTCAAGAGCCTCAATTTGTCACAAGCTTCTGTTCACTAACCAGCCATTTAGGCCTTTTCAACAACTGAATGTTTCTTTTATTTTTAAATGTGCCAGTTGAGTAAAAAAAAAAACAAAGAGTCACATCTGTTCACATCTGTTTTCAAGTCATACATCATTATTACGCAGCGTTATTAATGTTCAATTACACAAATCTAAACGCACATGCTACCAAAGCAATGCCAGATGTGTGTGTGTGTGTTTAATCTCGTGATGTTTGCATATTTATCCGGTCAATGTGAAGGAAATATTTGAACCTCTTCCAGCCCCCCACCCCCCCTCCAGAAATCGGCGCAGCAGGACGRCCGTCCGTGGGCTCGAACCGCGCCTTAAACCCTCCTCTCACGAGTTTTTACAAGAAAAGACAACAACTCGAAAAAGGGAGAAAAAAAGAAAAAAATGTTTTAGAGAGGAATTACGGGGGGAAATTCAACACTGGATGGGCAGAAAGGAAAGGGGAGGGCCCCGGGTCTGAGCTGCTGATGCTCTCCTCATCCCTGGACTTCCTTCCCTCGCGCGCTCCGACACACGGATGATGTAACTGTTTCATGACAGACTGAGCTCGGATTATCACGATTAACGCGGGTTTTCTTTAATGATCTACTCACGATACAGTTTATATCTTCTACCTTTTTGTGTGTGTGCGTTTTTTTAACCAAACGCTCCGGTCCAGGTTCGGCTCAGCGGGGACGTCGCGCCGAATTTACGCGGCAGTTCCTCAGCGATGATGGGCAGAGGTGAGTGCCTCAGATGACCCCCACGACCCTCGCTGCTGCGTCTCATTAATCATTTATTTATTAGGGAAATTGATGTCTTTGCTTCTCACTAACCTAGAAGTTGTGGTGCATTACTGACAGCTTGTCTCTTCAACTTATGTTTTTGAAAGTAAAGGTTTGGAACTTCCCCTTCCTGTTCAAACAACTTTCAGGTGAACTTCATTAACTAATTAGTTTGGAAATCACATGCGTTTCAAATTATTATGCAAATTGTATTTAAGTGTTATAATAAAGATTGCTATTTTCTTTTCAATTAAACTCGTTGCTGGTGTCTGAAGGCTCTTTGGGTCACTGAAATAAATTTCAGACACCTGTGATGAGTTTGCAGGTGAGGCCAATTAAAGGAAAAACTAATGATGTTTCTTTCACATGAAGCAGATCACCAAGTTCAAGTAATATGGGGGTGGGGGGGGGACTTCTCTGCTGCTGAAAAGCATGAAATAGTTGTTTGTCTTGGACAAGGTTTCATGAAAACAATCATCGTACTGTTAAGAGATTTGTTTTTGATTCTGAACACACGGGTTTGTGAAGATAAAGGCACAAGGAGGAAGGTTTCTGCCAGACAAACACATTAGATTAAAGGGGACGTGTGCAAAATCCACTTTTTTAGCAGTTAAATGCATTTTGTTGTGTACTCGGACTGGTACAGAAAAGCTGGATTTAGTCTTTCCCTGTGCTGCGTAGCCTGGTGCACCAAAAAAAATCGTTTTACATCAGAATCGTGATTCTCATTTACAAAGATTCAGAATCGATTTAAAATGTCTATTTTTATAAATAAAAAAATAAAGCAAATCCAATGGCTATCAGCCTCCATTTTGTAACAAAATGGGACGTCCTGACGTCATCATACAGCTGCTTCTGCAACATATGAATGCACAGACAGCACCAAAACAAAGAGGAAACTACAAAACTGGAGGAAAGAGAGATTCGATTGGCCCTGTCTTCATTGAATGCAAAGATTTGGGCTCATTTTAGTTTTTACTGAATGAGTCTGAGTTTGACATGCGCGAGGTGTGTGAGATTTGCAAAATGAAGATGAAGCACTTTGGGAACATGACGAATGGGCTCACATTATCAGTTTTTTAATGAAAAATCGATTTTGAATCGAATCATGAGAGAGTAAAAGATTCCCACCCCTACTGCGTAGATATCTTTATGTTCTGTTTGGGTCATATTTTTCAATCCATTCAGTACATTTTCTGAATTATTACGTCCCAGTATTTGTGACAGAACTGCCAAATAAGGTCTGGACTTWCCAACTACAATTGTCGCCTTCACTCTCCTCTGGCTCTTGATGGCTCCAACACGACAAGCTGGATGAAAAAGTCTTCCCTTGTCAACATCTTTTGATTATTTGTAAATAAAACATTTCTGTGCCACTAGTAGTAAACCCCTCTATCAAACTAGAAAGGACGGCTCTGGAAGCTGGAGGGAGGCAGAGTGTGACTACGTTCACACTGCAGGACTTAATGCTCAATTCAGATTTTTTTTATTCCGATCTTTTGGCGTGAACGTTCACATTACATTTTAAATGTGACCTGCAGCAGACTCCAGTGTGAACGCTCCATAGCACTGATGTGACACGTGCAGAGTAAAAGAAGTGACTTCTCATTCAGCCAGCTTGCTTGTTTACAGAGCTAGCATGGATGCTACTTTTAGCACGTCAAAGTTGTTGTTTAATCTGAGCCGATTAGATAATTATCTGATGTGCTTGTTTAGTTCAGTGGTTATATCTGAACCTGCCTCTGATCAGGATGCTCCGGTGAAGCTTTTTATTTTTGGAACGAAGCAACAAGCTGAAAATAAAGTATCGACTGAGTAACTTTAGGATCGATACGCTCTGCGACCCAGACTGGACGTTACTATCTACATGGAAAATTAAAAGTAAAAAGATGAAGCAACTGGACTTGTGTTTTGGAGCTGTAAACACATGGAGCTGCAGATTTAAACAGCGAGACTTMAGGTTAGTGTCTTATCGATCCTTCACCCCCTCCTCCTGATGAAAAAGTCAGATGAATGTGACATGAGCGTTCACACTGCAGTCACTTTGAAAACATCAGATATGTATCCGATTTAAAACCACATACTGAAACGGCCTGGGTTGGATTTGAAAAAGTCAGATTTGTCGCGTTCAGACTGTCATAGAAAATCAGATATGGGTCACATGAGGCAACAAAATCAGATTTGGATCACATTTACCTGCAGTGTGAACGTAGCCCAAAGAGTCTTGTTTGGATTTAAAGAGACAGCCTCAAAACAAGTTGATCTGAGACACACCTCAGAAAATGGGTGAAAGAGGGGCTTGTGGAGTTACAATAAGGAGGAATTCAGACCAAAGCATTGCAGTTCATTTATTTAGACCCCAACTGAATGAYTTAAATGTGAAAAATAAGGATTTAAAAGCATTACATGACTCCTTTAAATAAGCAGCTGCTAAAATTCCATAACAAAACAGCAAACATATATTTGAAGCTGCTGGTGCTTGGAGTCCCACAAACTTCCTCCAAAAGARTGCAGTTCTGCAAGCATCTGCACTTGGCCCAGAGATACATGAAGACTGAAATTATGTTCATGCATGAAAATCTACCATCTCATGCTGCAAGAATACCTCTGCATCYTCAGCTGCTGCAGGAATAAAAGGAGTGAAACTCATAGCGTGGCCCCCATCCTCCCCTGACCTCAACCACTGAGAACCTTTGGAGCCTCAAGGCAAAGATCTCTGAGGGTGGGAGCCAGTTCACATCCAAACAGCAGCTCTGGGAGGATATTCTGACATCCTGCGAAGAAATTCTAGCAGAAACTGCAAAACCTCACCAGTTCACTGGATCCTATCATAACTTGACCTGTTTGGGATGTTTTTGATTGAAAGAGCTTTTGATTTATACAACCACCATTTTCAGTTCTTCACAAACTGGATAATATTTTGAAACTCTGTTGTGTGTTATAGTTTCAAACAGTGCATTTTAAGTTTTTTTTTTTTGATAAAAATACTGTTACCATTGGGAGGTTTTTCAATAACATTCAAATTATACTGTAAGTTGATGACTAGTAAACATGCTGTAATTTGCATCCATTGTTTAGACRATCGGAGTAAATTATAATTGGCATAATAATTAAAAAATTATCATTAAGTTCAACATTGAAACCACTTATGTATTATTTTTCTCATCATATCACATAAACAGCTTTAAACCTTTATTTTACTTCATGAGTTCAATGACTTCAMCTACGTTTTTGTGTATTTGTCTTGTGAATTTCCACTCAAGTCGTCTGTAATTTACTAATATTTATTATTTTAGACTTTTAAACTAAATCTGCAAAGTCCATCATACCAATCATAGCCAATAATTGGTTGTTTGGAAACGGTTATTCATTCACTTTTAGTTGATTAAGTATGTTCAGACTTAAACAAAAGCTGTCCTAAATCACAACAAAGAACATACTGTAAATATTATGGATTCAGTTTGTTCTCTGTGGGTTTAGAACCTGCCTGTTTGTATTTTAGTCCTGACAATGAGTGACCACTTTGCCACTGTGTCCCCGCTGTGCTCCGTCTCATGAAGAAACGCGTTAACGTCCAACGCTTTTTTTTTACTCTTCGTGAGCAAAGTCTGCGTCTGGACTTTGGAAGTCTGTCAGAACAAAGAAAGAAAAAGAGCATTTTATTAAAACAACTCCTCCTCCCCCCTCACAACAGAAACATCAAAGATCCCCTTTTATGTTTTAAATCTGTGCAAATTACAGCTGAAGGCTTTTGTTTCGTTTTGTTATTAAACAGTGTCGGTCAAAGCCAGATGGAAGTGCCAAAAAGTGTGTAAAACAGCTAAAGTCAGTGACTACAGGCACTTTTTATAAGCAGCAGGAGAGTTTGTAGGTCATAAATGACGTTAGTGGTTGAGGCATTTTTAAAGAAAAGAGTGAAACAGAGCAGAGGCAGGAGCAAAGATTTGACTTTCTTTTTTGATTTGTTTCTGCAGGGAGAAGACTAAAGTGGGCTTGTTTTTTTAAATCATTAAAATGTGCCATCCCTGTTAACTGGATAAAATCAGACGTGTGTTGATGTGTCAGCAGGAYCACACTGAGCTGAAAATCTGACCAGCAGCAATCAGGTGGCGCAGCTTTCAGAGTTATCAGAGCGGTAACATTTTTGTTCTGCTCCTTTAGGTGCAGTCATGTGGCAGAGGGTCCAGATCTGCTGCGCGCTGTTCGCTCTGTGTTCGGCGGCGCCGCCTGCACACATCAACCGCCTGGCCTTGTTCCCCGACAAGAGCGCCTGGTGCGAGGCCAAGAACATCACACAGATCGTCGGGCACACAGGATGTCAGCCTCGCTCTGTTCAAAACAGGTCAGGATGAAGAGGCTTGCTCAGTCTGTGGCTCTGTGCAGAAACAAAAAAGAAACAGGAGGAAATACAGTATCTAACAATAGTTTATCATTTATTCAACCTGTTAATAAACTCCTAAACTATAAAAGTAACAGATGAAATGTTAAAAAAAAAAATAAAATGTGCAGAAAAGGTATACGTATACAAACTTCATGAGATTACAATCAAGTAAAAATATTCTACATAACTCAAAGCCTTTTGTGTCACTTTTTGCAGTGCAGACTAAATTAACAAATTCCTTTTAAGGAAAAACAATTTGCTCGTATTTACGTTCCATGCCTCATGAGACATCAACCTTTGAAAAAGAGATGGATAAACATTCATTTCAAATAAAACAAACACTTTCTCAGCCAAGTATTTTGCTTACTTGTTAATCTTTGGATCAAGTTTGAGCTTTTGACTTTTTTCTTTTTTTTTTTTTTGTGCAAACTTGCTTTTAAAATTGCTTTTAAATAGAAGAATGTCATTAAGATCTACCTGAACRATATTTTCTCATATTTTCTCATCACATATTGTTTAAGTCTTATTGAAATCATTATTGCGTAATTTATAATAAGAAAACAGAATAAGTTATTATATTAAGTTCTGGAGAAGGATGGGTTTAAATAAGTTTACTTCTTTTCACTACTTTTAAAATACGTTTCATTTTATTATCTTTTTAAATTATTATTATTATTTTAAATAGACTAGACGGCATAATAGCATGATCATATTTTATAAAATTATAGC